AAGTAAGGGAAGTGATTGTTCCAGCAGTGACCGGATAGATGGCTCGCCTGCAGGTGAAGTGATTTGCAGGGCATCACCCCTCAGGACGCAGCAGCTGGAGCAGACATGCTCTACATTCTACATTCGATGAAAATGTATTAAAGAACCTAAAGAATAAGTCCTAGTCAGGTGAATGGACGCACAAAAACCATTTGACGACACTCAACATCCATTCATGATAAAGGCTCAGAAAACCGAGAGGGAAAGTATCGTAAGTCACCATGGGAAATAAATCTGCACGCCACTGCACGCTCACTTGGTGGTGAGAGAAGGAATCCTTCCCCCTCCTGCCATCAGGGGCACCGTCATGGCGCCCCCCCCTCCCCGCAGCTCCCTCAGCGTAGCGAGGGCATCCAACAAGGTTCAGGGAAGCCAGAAGCAGTGATAGAGGCGTGCAGGGCCTTACAGAGGACGCCATGGCTTACCCAGAAAATCCAAGGGGATCTACCAAAACCCAAACCAACAAATAAACAAAGCAAACGAACCCTAGGACCCAGGAGTGCAGTTCATCAAGGTTACAGAATGAAAGAAAAACTCAGTAAATATCAACTGCTACAGATATATATGTAATATATATATACACACATGAACATCAAAGTTAAATACTCAGTTTCACTTAATAACCACTTTGAGACATGGAATATTTGCCTTGCTATTAAAAGGGGGGAGAACATGGATATGGAATATCTACCTAACATGTAGAATGTTTTATAAAGATTATAGTGCAGAAAATTATAAGATTCCAAAAAAAATCAAAGAATATTTAAGTAATAGGAGAAAATGCCATGGTATTCACGTGTTGGAAGACATCACATAGCAACTATGTCGGTTCTCCCCAAATTAACATCCAATCCTAGTCTCCATGTACTTTTTATTTTTAAAAGTCTCAAAGAGCTCGGGTGAGGTAAGCAATGTTTTTCTAATATTTAAGTTAAAATTAAGATGCCTAAAGCAGTGTTTCAAAGTAATAAAGTAAACTAGTTTGAAGATTGACGTACGGTAATCCATTAATCACAGCAGTCGGAGATTGACGTACGGTAATCAATTAATCACAGCGGTCGGAGATTGACGTACGGTAATCAATTAATCACAGCGGTCGGAGATTGACGTACGGTAATCAATTAATCACAGCAGTCGGAGATTGACGTACGGTAATCAATTAATCACAACGGTCGGTGCTGCGTAGCTTCAGCATCAGGTGGACACACTGACGACGGAGCAGCTCAGAAGACCCCGGGACTTGTCATGAGCAAGAACTAGCCAGGTGCTCTGTGTCGCTGTAATTCAGTGAAGGGTTAACTCTCGAGCAAGCCAGCCGTGCTGGGGGCTCGAGAGGTCCCGTAGGTGAAGATGTCTGCCCCAAGGCTGAAGGCCTGAGTGTTACCTCTGGGACACAGGTGTTGAAAGGAGAGCCCTGACGCTCAGAGCTGTCTTTTGACCTCCATTCATGTGCTGTGCTTCATACACACACACACACACACACACACACACACACACACACGTGCGTGCACACATGTGTACACATATGCACACACACGTGAGTATACACATGTGCACACACTTGTACACACACTCAAACAGTGAACGCACAATGCACACACTCACAAATGTGCCTACACACATGTACACTCATTCACACACAAATGCTCACACATGTGCATACATATATGTGCATGCACATGCTCACACATACACACACATGCATACATGCATACATGCATGTGCTCACACACGTGCATACACACACGCGTACACACACATGCTCTCACGCACACATTCTCACACACCTGTGCACACACTCTCACTCTCACTCATGCACATGCATGCTCACTCACGTACTCTCACACACACACACAGTGTAGTTTAAAAGATTGATAAAGATTTAAATATGAAAAATAGCAAAAGCTTCAAAGCCCAGCATTTTACAGCTCTCCGTGTGGATCTTCAACTTGAATACAAAACAAAAACTTCAGGACCCACGGGCTGCTGCAAAGCCCTTAAATGTCTCTCTCTCTCTCTCTCTCTCTCTCTCTCTCTCTCTCTCTCTCTCTCTCTCTCTCTCTCTCTCTCTCTCTCTCTCTCTCTCTCTCTCTCTCACACACACACACACACACACAAGATCTGACTGTATCCAAATTAAGAAGTGAGACCGAAAGGAGACAGGCAAAATCGGCACTCAGCGGGCGCTTAGGAAACCCAAGGGCCCTGTGGGGAACAGCAGGAGATCGGAGACCGTGCACTGGACAGACTTCGGTGTTAATAAGCTCTTCCTACTGGGAAAATGAAACGAAGACCAGGGTGAGGCAACATCGGAAATAAGCAATGGTAAAAATGCCAAATGCTCCTGGCGTTGGTGGCGCACGCCTTTAATCCCAGCACTCGGAGGCAGAGGCAGGTGGATCTCTGTGAGTTCGAGGCCAGCCTGGTCTGTAGAGTGAGTTCCAGGACAGCTAGGGCTACACAGAGAAACCCTGTCTTGAAAAACCAAAAATGAAATAAAAATTGTTATTATAAAAAAGAAAATAATAATAGTAATAATGCCAAATGCTGGTAAGGAAGTTAGGGATGCACGGATCCAGATTCACAGGACTCGGTACAACATAGGTTAATATAATTTTATTCGGGGAGAAGGCGCTTACACAGGAAACAGATGACCACTTCAAGTTCCCGCTCCAAGGATCCACACAGGCTCTCTCTGCAACCTGACAGGAAGGAAGAGAGCACAAGCTGGGGTCTGGTCCTCAAACCTAGCCCAATCCTCCTTCAAGTCCGTCCGCACCTGTGACCACGCCCAAATGGGCGTGGTCAGCGCTACAGGTGAGGGTGGAGTGAATATCTCACTACAATTCCCCCTTTAGTCTAAAGAAAAAGATTTAGGCAAGCGTGCTCTAGGAGAAGGAAAAGTGAGAACAAACACACTTAAGACCTGTCGCCAGGGAGGCAACAGGAGCAAATGGCAAGGACTACAGGATGTAATAAACCCGTCTTCCGTTCTTGCTCGGTCCCGGAAGATACTGTGACTATTTCTTTAACGTAAGCACGCACTTACCATATGACCCGGAAGTCACCTCCTGGAGTACTGACTCTAAATCAATCGAAACAGATACATATAAAATATTGTGCATAATTGTCCTTATAAAAGTCCCAAATTTAAAACAAAAGGTAAGCGGTTAAACGGGCCGCGGCGTGTTCATTCTGTGGAGTATCACTCAGGTGCGAGAAGGAATAAACTATTGATATATGCAACAACTTGGGTGAATTTCAAAATCACTGCTGGGAATATGTAAAAAAAAAAACAAACAAGCCAGTATTGCACACTGCATGACGGTATATATTAACATTCTATGTGTGACAAAGTTACAGAGGTAGAGGCTGGAGACGTCTCCAGGAATGGGCGGGGATGTAAAATGGTGGAGGGTCAGGTTCTGTGCTTCTGTGGGATCCTGCTGTATCTTGGGTACTTAGATAGTTACAAGAGCATACATACATGTGACAAAGGCATGTCGCGCTTCAAAAATTCAGGCATATGAGCTTGCCTAGGCAAAGCGCTGTTCAGTTTTGCTGCTCTTGGGTCTTATTTATTTAAAAGTCATCATTTACAATCGCATGACTCCTTTTCTCTCATTCACTATGCGTCTAAAGTTCCCCCCACCCCCAGGATGTTGCTTATAGCTGTTCCCAATTGTCTAGTCTTTCACCGGATAAACATGGCATCGTTTTGTTCTGTTGGTGGATATCATCGTTAAGTCTAGCTTCTTACTGTTCTGAATAAAGGTGTTTAAAACACCATACATATATGTTTAGTGCAAACATGCAAAAAAAAAACCTCATCCTGGATCCCGTTGCTGCTTTAGTCCCCAAATAAAACACAGGACACCCTATTAATTATGAAGCTGTTGGCCGTTTGCTATGGTTTCTAATTGGCTAGCTCTGACTTAATTATTGACCCATAATCACCAATATATTTTTAATAAGGACTTATCTTTCCAAGGACGCAGCCTCTCATGCGTCCTCTTCCTGTGATCACATGGTGGCGACTCTCCTCACTACATTTCCCAGAATCCTCCTAGACTCCTAGTCCCACCTGTCTTGCTTCCCTATTGGCCAACAGCGCTCTATTTACATATACACCGAAGGACTTCCCCCATCAAATCTGTTTGTATTGCCATAGCAAAATGTCCGAGACTGGGTAATTTATAAATAACAAGATGCATTTCCCACAGTTCTGGAGACCAGAGAGTACAAGGGCTGGCGATCTCATCTCTGCTTCTGCAGTGGAACCTTGACACAGAAACCTTACCAGCAGACAGATGCCGTGCACTACAGCAAAGCAGTAGACAGGTGGAGGGACAACAGGGCTTGCACGTGAAGTCTTTCCGCGGGCCCTTAGCGGGTGTCCACAGCCCTTAACCGTGTTGCGCTGGGAATGTGCATGCGTCAGGCACATCAGCCGCAGCATTGGACGATGCTGGGGGGAGCAGAATTGCTCGGAAGGATGTGTGAAGCCCCCAGTTCTGTAGAATGAAACTCCGTGTTGCTTGCTTTGATATCATGCTGGGTCTTTTTCTGATTCATAGCATTTCTTTCTAAATTTGAATGCTGGTTTTGGCCTGTCCTTTTTTTTAATTTTTAAAATATCGTGTTTATTTTGGGGTGGTGTGGGTGGGACCCCAGCACACGTGTGGGGGTCAGAGGATAATCTCCTAAAGTCGCTGCTCTCCTTCCTGGCGGTAAAGGCAGGGCTGCAACCTTGGTGGCAAACGACTATCTGCTGAGCCGTCTCATAAGCCCCTCTGTTTAGAATTCTTTGTCACACCTTCACATTGCCTTTACAAATATGACAATCTTTATGGGTAGCAATTGTACACTTTGAAGACTCCTTTCCCATCTTCCAGGTCAGAAAGATATTAATTTTTTCATCTCCCCTCTAAATATTTAAGACCTTTTTTTGCTCTTCACAGCTAAACCCTTAATCCCCCTGGAATCAATCCTTGCTGTAGTTTCTTCTTGGCTGGGTAAGTTATTTCAACTTTCATGGGAGCTCTGTGAATGAGAAAATCATGGAGGAAACCTCCTCGGCCACAGGATTTGGGAAGAGGGATGACTCTCCCTTAGACACCCTGGAGAGGGATCGTACTGGAATGAACCAAGAGGCCTTTGCTGCAGTAAGGGAAGGCTTGATTGAGAGAGAGAGAGGGGGGGGGGGAGGGAGGGAGAGAGAGGGAGGGAGGGAGAGAGATGCTCTGCCACCATTTGAACAATAATTTGAATAGATCAAGCCATTTAAATAACCTACTTGTTGAGAAAGAAAGTAGGCGTTTGCTTTGTTTTGCTTTTTGAAGCCAGGGCCTCGTGTAGCCCAGGCTGGTCTTGAATTTAGCTTTATGGTTGAGGATTACCCAGAACCCCTGATCTTCAAGTGCTGGGATGATGACAGGTATGTACTGCCAGCCTGGCTTAGAGAATGGGGAAAACGATCCACACATTCCTACCACAGTAAGACTCAACAGTGAAAGTGACATGTGAAAGGGGTGAGCATGTACGCGTGCACATGTGTGTACGCGTGTGAGTGCGTGGGTACGTGTGCACACATGTGAGTGCGTGCACACATGTGAGTGCGTGCACACGTGTGCGTGCGTATGAGTGTATGCACGTGCGTGTGAGTGTGTGCACACGTGTGTGTGCATGTGAGTGAGTGTGTGTGCGTGTGTGTGTAGCATTCAGAGGAAAAACTCAGCTTTGGACACGCATTACCTCATATTGCAGGAGACCCAACTGCTAGCCTTGGGTTCTCACTATCAAGGTGGTTGTGAAAATTCCTTGGAGCAGTGCTGTGTTCTGTGGCCTATAACAAGAACCCTTTCTAGAATGGCTTACGCAAATGTAGCTTACTAGTTCTCAAATGACAGCCCAGGGGCAGGCAAGGCAGGGCAGCATGGTGGCTCCTTTTGCCTTAGGTTCTCACACGCCGTGACTTTGGCCTTATAACCTCCATTCAGGGCTCACTCGCCCCTCCTCCTCAGCTAGAAGTTCCTCCTTGGACAAAATTAGGGTTCTGGAGGGAGAGAGGTAGACTGAGCGTCGGGGAGTCAGCCGGCAGCATCTGTCATGGTCTCTGCTTGCAGCACTGACGCCTGCCCACTCTGGCAGAGCTGTCTGGACGACACAGTCAGAGATGCAGAGCGAGGAAATCTCACACAGCATAGAATGCATTGCATACCGGCAATGGAGCTCTGAGCCATTTCCTCAGAGAGTAAAGGCTGTGCCGACAGAGAGCTCTGGTAAACCAAGGCCTGGGAGAGCCAGCACAGCGCTCGCCAGCCGAGCTCTTTCTGGTTTGGGCAGCTGGCACTCCAAGGGCTAGCCTGGCGGTTTTGTGGGCACACATGATTAGCTTAGCTATCAACCTTCAGTTCGTGTTGCTAAGCCTTATTGTGTTAAAAATGTCTGGGTTCTTTTCCATGCTGTTCCTCCCCGCTTTCTCCCTCAAGCAACCCCTCCCTGTGTCATTTTTTTCTTTCGGTTGGCCCTAGTTTCACCTCTTGGGATAACCCCAGATCAGTTGAAGTCATTCTCTGTATGTTAGACTTCACAAAATGGTGACAGACAGGTTCAGCCTTGAGTGACACTGGGGTTTTTGGTTAAGGTGAGGCTGACATCCTCTCGGGTGACTGAAATAAGACCTATGGCCTGAGAATAAAGCCAACCTGCAGAGAACAGCTGTGCCCAGAGAGCCCCCAGGGCCCCATCAGTACAGCAAGTTTCTGCTTTCCCTAATCAGCCTGACTCCTGCCTCGTTTTGTTTGTTTTTCCAGCTGAATGCACCAAAAACGTTTCCTTGTTTTGTTTTGTTTTTTATGTGAGTGAATTTGAGTTCTGCTCTTTATTGATTCCTATACTTTTATTATTTTAAATAAACTCTGTGCTTTGATAGTCTATTATCTTATGTATCTATATGTATGTACATGTGTGTACACTGGCGCATTTATCTCGAAGTGGCAGTCCTTGCCTGTAGTTGAGCACGCATGTCTCTCGTTGTTGTGTTGTCTGAATAGCATCTGTCCAACTTACCTGATACCATGAACCGCGCTGGTCTCTGTGGGTAATGTGCCTATGACATCACCCCGAGTCCTTTAAGCTTGGGGTGGGGCGGGCGCTGAGCTGTGATGGTTCTCACAGATGTATTTCCTGCTTCCTGTTTGCAAAGAAGACATAAAAGTAGCCTAAACTTTCAAGCAGCTGCTAAGCGTTCTGGCAACATGGTCCTTGGCTGTGTGAGTGATCACAATTGCAAGGCCCCAGGCTGCTGCTGAGAAAACCCACCTGGAGAGAGAGAGAGAGAGAGAGAGAGAGAGAGAGAGAGAGAGAGAGAGAGAGAGAGACAGAGACAGAGACAGAGACAGAGACAGAGAGACAGAGAGAGAGACAGAGAGAGAGAGAGACAGAGACAGAGAGACAGAGAGAGAGAGAGACAGAGAGAGAGAGACAGAGAGAGACAGAGAGAGACAGAGAGAGAGAGAGAGAGAGAGAGAGAGAGAGAGAGAGAGAGAGAGAGAGAATTTACACGGTTTCAGACCGTGTAAATTCTGATTTGAAATGCACAGATGTTTATGCCGTTGAGATGGCCAAGCCGTCACGTTTGCACTGGGTAGACAGAGGGCACTGGCTTCTCTGTCCTCAAGGCTTTGTCCTCAGGTCCCCATTGCCCTGGTAGCATGAGGGGTCTGCACAGTACTGAGGGCTGAGCCCTGCGTTTGCTCCAATTCTCTGAGGAGGGAAATACGTCCTCTTTTATGCCACTGAGTAGATGGGAGCCTCATCGCATTTAGGAAAACAAAGCAAGTCAAAAGATAAAATGGGAGATTTAGCGGTGAAGTAGAAGACTGGTTTTTGCTTCCTAGAGAAAGATGAGTGCATCCGGGCTTTCTTACCTCTCTACTCCGGTTGTTTGTTAGGGAAAACTGAGTCTACCGCACTCCGTTGGGATTTCTTTCTGATTCAGGGTGATTCTGCTGAGACTCTCACAGTAGTACAGTGAGGGCCACACTACCATCCAAGTCTCCCGCTGAGATGGGAGCAGGGTCACTTCCTAATTTGTTGACATGAGTCTCAAAAGCCATCTCATCGGGCATGTAGGAAATCGGCTTTTCAGGAAGGGAACCCTCCCCTCCCCGTGTATGAGTTTCCTGGAAAACGTTCAAAATAAGCTCAGATGAGAGCCAGCCAAGATTTGGAGGCAGGCTAATATGGCGTAGGTGTTGGCAACATTGTGTGTGTGTGTGTGTGTGTGTGTGTTTGTGTGTGTGTGTGCGTGCACGTGCATGTGTGCACGCTCATCCTGGAATGAATGCATGACTCTTTATCTCATGTATCCTTGGCCAAACGGTTTTGTGTGAGGAGGAAATGGCAAAAGTTGAAATTAACAAGGGCAAGACAAAAACTGTGAAAGAAAGAAAAAGCTTGGCGTTAGAGGGAAGGACACCGAGCTTCTGAAATGAACTTCTAGCCCCTCTTAGGTCTGTTTGATTTAAGCCTCTAGGTCTTAGCCACGCAGCTCATCTACCTGGGTGAACGGAGAAAGTGAAAGTCCGTGTTCCGAATTCTCTGGGCGGGTTCTTCTAAGGAGACCTGTAGGAGCGTGCTGAGGTCATGTTTGAATCTAGTGGCTTTCCCCCTGCTGGCATCGGAGCTGACTCCCAGCCCGTTGTGTTTCTCAGCCCATTGACTCTCAGCCCATTGGAGACCGAAACAAAACTGTCCATTTAAATCCATCGAACGCAGGCCGCTGGGGGAGTTCTTCCTCCTCGTGATGTGTGAGCTGCTTATGGATGTCTACATAACAGTAGACATGACATCAGTCTAAAACATCACAGGACACGTGTGTTGTCTAAAGACGGCAGAGCACACGTGAGAGTCGACATGGGAACCCCTCTCCTTAATGTGGGGTCTAGGGGAAGAGTCGCAATAACACTACTGACTTCCAGGGTTTCCTCTTTGTTGTTTGTGACAGGGTCTCACCATGCAGCCCTGACTGGCCTTCATCAGAGTCCCGCCTCAGCCTCCTGAGGACCAGGGTTACGCCTGGCTAGGCTTCTGGTTGCTCCTGCCCCTCCCAAAGCATCCTCATGCCCATTGTGCCTGTGGCGTCAGAAGAGGCTGTAGCGTGGGTGTCTTCTAGAGTGAACCTAAAGAATGCTCAGCTTCCTCTCTGGTTAATGTGGGGAGGTCCCAGAATCCCCGGTGCACCTTTGAAACATCTGCCACACCCTCAAAAGACGAGCTAGGTGAGAGATTGACAGAGAGAGTACAGAAGCCATTCTTGGATTGACAGCTCTTGGCTAGAGAGAGCAGGGGACAATCTGGGGAGGGGGGAGTGACTCCTTAGTGCAAGTTTAGATCTCTTAACTGTTCTTTTTTTCCCAAAAGAATGGTAGGCTAGCAAACCCGCTGAATTTTGTGGGTTGTGGAGAATTTTGTGCAAGAAATGCAGACATGAGGAAAATGGCCTAGTGACGGATCCAAATAGCAGTAGAGAAGAAGGCTACTCAATGCAGAGAGAGAGAGAGTCTAAATTGGAGGTCTCCATTGGGTCCTTCCCTGGTGAGACTGGGGGACACCATGGAGGAGGGGGAGGGAAGACTGTAGGATTCAGGGGGGTGGGGGACACCAGGAGAGCACAGCCCACTGAGTCAACCGAGCAGGGCTCTCATGGGCTCACAGAGACTGAGGGCAGTCACAGGCCTGCGTCTGTCTGCGCCAGATCCTCTGTGTATGTGCCTGGCTGTGGTTTCCTGTTCCTGAGGGACTCCTAACAGTGGGAGCGGGTGTGCCTCCGACTCTTTTGCCTGCTCTTGGGACTCTTTTCTCCTGTCGCGCTGCCTCTCCAGACTCAATACGAGGAGGGCTTTCACCTTGTCTTAACTGTATCTTGTTTTGCCGTGTTGGGCTGTCTTCTCTTGGGGGACTGCTTTTTTTTTTTCCTGAAGAGGAAATGGAGGGAGAGAGTGGATCTAGG